AAAAACAGAAGAGATTCGTAACATGAAAAAAAAAAAATTAAAGTTGAAACATTTTGTGCCAAATTAATACAGCAAAACCTTTTTTCGTTTTCTTTACAAGAAAAAAATTTTTTTTTCGCTTTTTTTTTTTTTGTTTGTTTTTCTTTTGTCAACTGTCTTTTTTTCCCCGTCAATATTCGGAAAACGATGGCGTTTCAGTGGTAACCGGTGCAACCGTTGTATTAACCATAGTCGTCTTATTCTCATCGTTTGATATCTTTACATAACCTTCCAAGTCAACCTGCCAACTCTGATACCACATAACGGCCCAATAAATAACTGTAATAAAAAAACAAAAAAAAAACCTTTTAAATACTGTAATTTGATAAAGAAATTAACGTAAGAGAAAAAAAAAATAAACTTTTTTTTTTTTTTGCGTTGGTGATTAATAATTAAATTTTTAGATCTTTTACAGCTGTAAGCGATTGTTTTACAGAAATGTTTGTGCTTCTAAAATTACACAGGAACTGACAATTTTGGTTTTCTCTTACCAAAAATGATAACATAATTGAGTACAATCCAAAAAAAAAAAAAAAAAAGAGAGGAAAGATTAAATTTATAAACTTACTGTTAAATGATATGAATGTAATAGGAAAGAAATATCGAGAATATTTGTCAATTTTTGCTGGTGTACAGGCACGACATGGACCCGGCGGACGTTTAACTTTACCAAATGGTGCCGGCCATGTACCCATTGCCGGTACCATCCTTGGCGGCTGTATCAACGGAATTGTACGACATTCACATTCCGGTGGCATATCCACTGAATTCTGTAATATGTGTCTTAACTAAACTTTGATATTTATTATTGTTTGATCAGTAGTTTTTTTTTTCCTTTTGTAAAATTTGCAGTAAATACTGTTTGAACAGTTCAATATACAGTATATTACTATGCTTGCATGTAAAAAATTATAAATCACTTTTTGCTATCTTTATTTTTTCATCATTCGTCTCATTATTCTCATTTGTATTAATCATCTGTTATTTCATTCCAATTTCCTTCCTCTTTTTTTCTCTTTTTTTTTCTTATCTTTTTTGTGCTCAATTTCGTCTGTATTGATTCGTTAAATTTATTCAATTGTTGATCGACGATCAATTATGATGAATGAATAATGACAAAGGAAGAAAATTTTGCTGCTCAGTTAAAACTGAAAGCTGAGTAAAGGAAAGCAAAAGAAGAAAAAGGAAAAGTAATGACGAGTTAAAGCACAAAAAAAAAAACAGAAGAGAAAACATGTCAATTTTTTTAATGTTTGTTCACTGATTAATGGCTAAAAATTTGATATGCAATTTTTTTCTCTTCAAAATATATTTGTAATAAATAGTTTTTCTTTTTTTTTTCGAACAGAAGAATACTGGAAAATATATGCTTTTTACTGCAGAATCATTTAATAACATTAAAGTCAGAAGAAGAAAAAGGCAAGCTTAAAGAATTAAATTAAGTCTTTTTTTGTATGGTAACTATTTTTTTTGTATTCTTTTAAATTTAATTGTTAGCTGATTCTGAACATATATAAACGAATAAATCTGTTGTCGATCTGTCACTTACCATCACATGCGGACTACGTGGACCATTTAGCCGATCGTGCCGCTAAAAAACAACAACTCTTATCTTGAAAATCCAAACTAACACTTTCTTCTTGTCTTTTTTTTTCTACCTTTTATAACATATCTGTTGTTGTGAACATCTGTTTAATAGTAAAAGTCTAAGAAAACTGAAAAAAATTCTCATAAGTAACATTTGATAAACCTGACAGTTGTGAATGCATATTTTTTGGCTTATTTTTGTCGCTAATTTGACATTTTTAATGATAACGCTTATAACAGTATTAATAAATAACTAAATTTTTATAAATGTAAAGAATTATACGTGCGTATAACAGCAGATTAAAAACAGAATTACAAACCATAGTGCCTTTTAAGGCTGCATGATTATAAAAAACGGGCATTTCTACCGGCGCCGCTTGTTCACCCAACTTTCTACGCCGTTCCCGCTGCTGGGCCATCTTTTTATTCAAATAGCTAACTACAGCATATTCAACAAGACTGGCAAAAACCATTACGAAACTGAAAAGCTGCTCAATGTATCATTTATTCCACCGTGATAAAGATAAAAGACATTAATAATAAGTATCAAAAAAATAATGCAAAAAAGAAAGTAAAATTTCAAACGGTAAAATTGCTGATTATAACGTACCAAAAATTGAGAAAATAATCCAGTCCTTTGATATAGCTAACTTTTGGCATAGCATTCTGAAAAGCAAATATTGATATTGTTTAGGTGTTATCAATAAGATGGCAATAAGCAATGCAAAATTTTTGGTTTTAAAATTTTAGTTTTTAAAGGTACATAAAGGTGTTACAAAAAGACAAAAAAAGCCTCAGCTAAAATAGAAGAGCATACATTTGTTGTGGTTATCAGTGTTGTCATCGTAAGCACAGTTGTAACACCGAGTCCAACTCGTGCTGGTGATGCCTCACGATTTAACCAAAATGATACCCAAGAAATTGTAACAATCAGTATTGACGGTATAATAATATTCATCAAATAAAAGCCTAAATTTCTCGTCAACACTACCTCGAACGATAAACGCTCATAGACGCCTATAAAACAAGCAGATTTTATTGATGATAGATCAGTCAAACAAATTTTTTAATATGATAATTTTAATATGATAAATTTTTAAAGCTTTTTTTCAGAATTTGGCTTTGGTAACCAAATCAGCAAAATCTTCAAATGTTTATTTAAAAAACGTTATTGATACTGTAACTGTATATATGCACTCATACTGATAGCTGATTAATGATTACTGTTTAGCTAAACCCATAAAATTTTAGTGTTTTTTTT